AATCTGTGCTTATTCTTTTTGGGGAATTTATATCTGATTCTGTCTATTGCAAACTAGAACATGTCCATATCTGTACAGAGTTCATGCATTGACATTTCATACAGTATTTATGGAGTGCTCCTTTACTGTATCAGCTATGCTACATGGAGAAATATGCCTCAATGTATTGTCAAATGTAAATGAGTGCAGCTAAAAGTAGAAATAATTAAGAGGCTTACAGCGAGTGTAACACTGTGTATATTAGCTATTATTTTCAGTCTTTTTCTTAGCCAATTGCACATGCATGATAAGAATAAATATAATATCTGTCTACACTAAAATCTGTGATTATAACAGATTCAAATGTGTGTCTCGGTGTCTGTGTCCTCGTCCAGGCAGTGAACCGGCAGATCAGCCTCGAGCAGCAGCTGCAGACACTGAGAGAAAACGAACAGGTGCTCCAAGCGCTGCAGGAGTCTCTGAGCCAGCTGGACCACACGCTCACCTCCTACCTCACTGATCGCATAGACGCCTTCCAGCTTCCACAGGAAGCACAGGTACAGCGCACGTGAACATAAAACACTTCTGTGTTGGTAAGACTCACCTAATGAGATCTGACACTCAGAGAAGCCTCGGAGCATAAAGGCCCTTCATCTAACACTAATAAACTGCATATGCAATGAAATATGCTTGAACTTCAAATTGTCGTCTTAAACATAAAACCACCATAATAATGCATACTTGAATGTTCCATGTGCATAAAAAAAAAAAAAAAAACCTTCTCAGTGTATAAGGGTTGTTTTGAATTTTTCGTTAGACTATTGGAGCAGAGATCGCAGCTCACGAGGTGACAGTGGAAGAGATGAGGAGAAGAAATGTGGCCAACTTGCCTCCTAACACCGCTGATGGCAAAGCTGGCCGTAGTGGGACAATGCTGGATCACCTACAGGTAATACTGACCCCTGCTGGACAATGTGAGGAGTTGTCATGCCACCACCACTTATCATATAGCTTTAATACCTTTTACATACATTGGTAATATTAGCCCAACACATAGTAAAGACAATCTTCCTTTTTTACTTGTATAAAGGTTTCTGTAATCCTGAAGATGCATTTAAATTTCATTCAAAATTTCATACTTTCTTTAACATTTTGCTGGGTAAACATTGGCTATTTTTTCGGCGATCTTTGACTTTGTTTGCCTTCTGAATTGCTTTCTGCAGAGGAAACTGAGGGAGATCTCCACAAAATATCAGCTTTTCCAGAAGCCTGCTAACTTTGAGCAGCGCATGCTGGACTGTAAGAGGGTCCTGGATGGTGCTAAAGCTGAGCTTCACATCCTGGATGTTAAAGATGTGGAACCGGAAAAAATTCAGTCTCATCTTGCTGGTTGTCTGGTAAGAAACCGGCCTTTTCTTCTCTTTTCTTTTTCTCTCTCCAGTCAATCCACACAGCTACTTATTTCATGTCTTTTTCTTGGATAGAAATTGTACAAGTTGCTGAGTGAGGTGAAGCTGGAGGTGGAGACGGTGATAAAAACAGGCCGCCAGATTGTGCAGAAACAGCAGACAGAGAACCCCAAGGCCATGGACGAGCAGCTTACTGCTCTTAAATTGCTCTACAATGAACTCGGGGCGCAGGTACCTCATTCTGGGCAAATTAACACTTCCACAAAATCTAGCTTTTAACATTGAGTACTTCTGTCATAGCTCTGAGTCCTTTTTAAAGATGCCATTGTATTAATTGTCCTTACAGGTAACAGAGGGCAAACAGGACCTGGAAAAAGCTTTGTCTCTATCCCAAAAGTTCCAGAAGGAAAGTGCTGTCCTGCAGGACTGGCTGAACACAAACGAGGCCGAGCTCCAGCAGAAAAATGGCTGCGGAGACATGCCAGCTGACATCGACGCTGAGATTGCATGGGCTAATGTGAGTAGCTGTTTCAGTATGTGGAAAGCTTTTTTGTTTTTTTTAAACAGACATTTATTAAGAAAAAAGTGTGCTGTGCAAGTTTTAGTGAAAACAAAACCTTTCAAAACAATAGCGGTGAGTCGGTTTCTTGCCAGTAGATGGCACAGAGGGACAGTTTGTTGCCCCTAAACACATGAATCTGATTCTCTTTCTCATATGGTAATCAACATTATGAGCGGTGTGAATTATGTGTGGCTTCGTATATAATTGATGAGCTCTTCTCCTCTTCTCTGATCCCACTTTGGTAAAAAGGACTGAAAGATTTATGATTACATACACAGAACCAGGAAAAAAAATGACCCTGTTTATCCAAAAATACCCAGAAACGACATTAAAACTGAAATGCTATGAATTAATAATAGTTCACTAGTTTACATAAAGTCATTAAAAGTGCTTTAGTCCAGTAGGGTGTAGAAAGTGTTTTTGTTGTTTTCCAGCTGTGCTTGTTTTGAAACATTTATGCAGTGAAATATCTGAAAATGTTCTTCATATCTTGGTGAAGGCAGGCTGTTGTTTTAGTAACATCAGCATTATTTTTTTCTTTTATATAGCAGTGTGTCAGTGTTTACATGTGCCTGTGTGATAATATTAAGACAGGTAGCTGAGGTGGCGCTCAATTATTGAAACATGGTGGTCATAACATGATCTTGTTGAATATTTTGAACTGGATGTGCTTAACCAGGGTCTGCTGAAGGAGTCGGAGCGTCGGAAGGCGGAGCTATCTGGCCTGACGGAGATCAGCGCTGGTTTGCAGACTCTGGTGGAGGGAAGTGACGCTCAGCTGGAGGACAAACTCTGTAGTCTTAATGAAGCCTGGGAACGTGTTCACACTTTGACTGAGGACTGGCTTAGCACTGTTCTTGTGAGTGCAAATACTGCATATAGAAAGACTAATAAAAGGCTGTATTGGTCACAAGATGTCATATTTTGGTTTCTTAATGAAGTCGAGTCTTCCAGCTGCTTAAATTTCATTTCATTTCTTTGCATAATTTGCAAATGCATAAAGGCTACTCTTGAGTAGATATATTTAAGGTAAAGGCAATTACCCATGTCAGCTATTACTGCATATGCATACTTTATAATGCATATCAGTAGTACAGGATTATTTAGTTAGACATGGTGAGTTTAGAAATTCTAAGAAATGTATTTAAAAGTTGCATATTCTGCTCAGTGCAAAGTGCATTACAGGATTATATTTATTAAGGATTCACAACTCAAATGAAACATGCTCTTTTTGTGCTCTTTTACTCACCTGATTGCAGGAAATGCATAAATGTCAAAACCAAAAAAAAGACTTCAAATCACCTCTTTGGTGCACTGCAGCAAGTCTATGATAAAGTACAAAATGGTGAATACGTAGAACTTTTAATTGCCTAAATATCCATTTTTGGGTTGTGTAGAGTCACCAGAATGAGGTGGAAATTTTGGATGAAAACTTGGCTCACATCAGCACCTGGCTCTACCAGACCCAGATCCACCTGGATGAGGCTGAACGGCTGGCTCCAGCAGAAAGAGAAAAAGTAATAAAGGTAAGGCAGCGCAGGTTATTAGTGTGACAGGTAAAGCAACAGTAGAGCGTGAAGCTAATGTGTAGATTCTGTGAAACCAGCACCGGGCCTGAGTGATTCTAAAACCTGAGTTTTTTAGAAAGCTCCCAGTGAATAAGATTCTGAGAAGGTGCATTAAAAATAAATGGCTGGGCCACTGATGCACATTGCAAATTAGCTCACATAGACACATTAGTTGTGCTGCTTCTTAATGATGGTATCTTAGCTAACAACCCCAATTACCAGATTCAACTTGTAATTGACTAAAAATCACTTGGCCTACCGGTGAGAGGGACATTGCTTGCTGGCAGTTTTTTCAAGCGATGTTGAAATTTCCGCATTCCAAAACTTCAAATGCTTCAGGAGCCGTCCGCTTAGCGCAGCATCAGCACCATGGAAATACACACAAATACAATACTGTACTATGCCAACATGTGCGAACAAATATAGTTCTATAAAGTTGTTCTATATACAGTGGGGCAAAAAAGTATTTAGTCAGCCACCGATTGTGCAAGTTCCCCCACTTAAAATGATGACAGAGGTCAGTAATTTGCACCAG